AGTTGCTATGTTTCATATCATACTCCTTCCAACTCATTGGTACTTGAAACTGAATCTTATACCAAATGATCTATTTCAGCAAATATCTGTAATACTAGTTTCTAAATTTGAACAATTGGAGGTTCCTAATGTTATACAGAATATAATATTACAATATTTTTTCTCAATTCAGTCTAATCATAAATAAGAAATTAATCCAACAGTAAAATTGACTAAATCAAAATATGCTAAACTATTTGGCCTATTAAAAAAAGTGAGGACCTTGTATTTAAAGCTAATTTGTATGATGAATTATCTGAAATTCTAAGTGCTTTTCTTAACAAATCGCAAAATAAGATGAACGATGATCCAAAACAAAATGAAAATCATATTATGAATTCTATTAGTACGAAGCACAAGACACATCCTCCTAAAAGACTCAAATCTGTTATTGAACAAGATTCAAATAAACATAACTACGCCCTAAAAGACAAATCATCTAATATAATTAATAATGATACAAGTTCAGATAGTAAATTGATAGGTGATAGTAAAGGTTATAAATGTGAAAAATATAAGCAACTAGGTCACTATACTAAAACTTGTACTAGAGAATAAAACATTGTATTAAAGATTATCTTAGTTGTATTTAGCACTATTTTATTTAGTAATTCGTTATTATTAAATTTGAATCAAATATTGTATATCAAAAAATAATTGTGATCAATTTGTTCAATTCTATTTTTAATCTTAATTAATAATATGAATAATTGATACTTTATTTGATTTGATTTAACAATATATATTAATATGATACAAAGTTTTTTTTAAAGCTTAATAATTATTTCGATAATAATGTTAAGACTATTATAGTTAGCTTAAAGTTAAGGTTAGATTAATAGATTTTCCTAGCATAACTATTAAAAAACATAGATTAGAAAGTGCTTTAAATCTTGTTTATGTTAGAGTTAGGGTTTAAACTAAGGTTAGAGTTAGATAGTTATATAGTAAATTCGCTCGATTTCTTAGATAAATTCTTGTAAATAAACGATGTTTTTAAACAATCAGTTTGTTTTGGATTTTTTTGATTTTATTACATTACATAAAATTATGATTACTATTGGCTAATTTCTGTTT